AATTGTGGAAGTGTCACTTCTACAAACGCGAGTTGGAATACCTTGGTTACTTGGTAGGCAACGATGGCCTCAAAGTTGATCAAAAGAAAGTGGCGGCAGTCCAACAGTGGCCCGTTCCACAGGACATGGGACAGGTCATATCATTTCTTGGACTTGCGAACTATTTTCGCCGTTTCTTGGAAAATTATTCCTCCGTAGTCGCTCCACTGACTGCCCTCACTCGTAAGGGTAATGCTTGGCAGTGGACCGATCAATGCCAAAAGGCATTTGAGGAAGTAAAAACCATGCTGACCAATGCTCCAATGCTGGCTTTGCCAGACCCGTCCAAGCCCTACGAGGTGGTAACTGATGCCTCGACAATAGGAATTGGAGCATTTCTTTTGCAAGAAGGACGCCCCGTGGCATTTGAGAGTAGAAAGCTTTCCTCGGCTGAGCAGCGCTATACAACTTCCGAACAGGAATTGTTGGCAATTGTGCATGCGCTACGAACATGGAGATGTTATCTGGAAGGTGTTGACTTCGTGGTCACAACGGACCATTGTCCGAACACCTATTTGCCACTCAAGCCACACTCACCCGCCGTCAAGCTCAATGGGCTGAACTCCTTAGTGGGTTCACCTATGATATTAGATATCGAGCGGGCTCGACGAACATGGCCGGTCCTCTGAGCAGACACCCGATTGGGGCAGCAACAGGTGTTGATGATAATGAACATGAAGCAGTGTTTGCTGCTTGTTTCAGCATCCTCGCAGCCGCTCGAGTGAGTGAGATCGCCTTTGGTGGTTTTCTGGAATGCATCCGCGCAGAGTATATTATTGATCCCTAGTTTCAGGAACCCACAGAATACAAAGGATCTCTTGTGGGAGCATGAGCTTTGGTGGCACAAGAAAGAAATTGTTGTCCCACATGTGGGAAACCTGCGGAATGATATTCTAGCAGAGGAGCACACCACTAAGTATGGAGGACACACCTGGGTGCCAAGAAAACCCGGTGGTCTCTCAGTGATGTATACTGGTGGCCAGGATTGGGCATTGAGGTCCAGCAGTTTGTAACTCGTTGTGACACGTGTGCCGGAACAAGCCGAGCACACAGAAGCCTGGTGGTTTGCTTCAACCACTTGAGGTTCGCGATGAACCTTGGAAGAGTGTATCGATGGATTTTATCACCGATCTCCCCAAGACGCAAGATGGTCATACAGCGATACTGGTGTTTGTGGATCGCTTGACAAAAATGGTGCACTTCGTGGGCACCTCGTGTGATGGTGTCTGACCGAGACCCGTGCTTCACAAGCCGGTTCTGGCAAGAGGTCATCAAGACATTGGGAACGAAACTCAAGATGTCGTCTGCTTTCCACCCACAAACGGATAGATACTCGTGGAATTCCCTGTGAACAATTCTGTGCATGAAAGGACCCATGAGAAACCCTTTGTCCTAAACTGTGGTCGGCACCCCACAAACCCTGCGACGCATGGGATTAAGAACCTCAAAATCCCAGCCGACTTTATTGGAAAACAGCAAGCTGCATTGAAGGCCGCTCACCATTGGCTGCAACTTGTTCAACAGAGGCAAAAACCCCTATGCCGACATAAAATGCCGGGAAGTCGTCTATGCAGTTGACGACAAAGTATTATTGAGTACGAAGAACATTCGTCTCAAGATCCTGTGAGCACGAAAGCTCTTCCCTCGTTGGATTGGGCCCTTCAAGGTGATTGCGCGAGTTGGTGAGGTCGCCTATAGGCTGAAATTGCCTGCGACACTGCAGATTCACAATGTCTTCCACGTGTCTCTGCTCAACAAGTACGTTGCAAAAGGCAAGTACGTACCACCACCAACCATCGTTCTCGGGGAGGAACTCTTTTATTAAGTCGAACGTGTGCAAACGCACCGTGATCGACAACGCGATCGCAAAACTGTGCGTGAGTTCCTAATTCAGTGGAAAGGCTATGGGCCGGAACACAACTCTTGGGAGCCTGAGAAACACTTGACCGAAGCAGCGGTTCAAGCGTATATGGAAGACCTGGCTCTACGAGCAGGCCCACAACCAGTGGACGGGGTTGACCCTGGTCGTAATGTGGTGCGCCGTGCTCGAAACACTTGTTCTAAGAAGCATCCTAGGGCAACGAAGACGTTGCCACCTTGGGGAGGTGGAGTGTAACGCATTGCCCTAACTAAGCTCACTAACCAACTTCCCTCTAGGCAAATGTCGAGAATTTCCTTGACAAGGAGGGACTTGGAGAAGAAGGCTGGGTTGGTTGAGATGAAACTTGGTTTGGGTTTGCCAAGCCACAACTTTGGAGGCTTGGAACTTTTCCAACTCAACCAAGAAAATGTTGAAGATTGGATTTCCAACCAATCACAAACTGCCAAACAATTGTTACAATCTACTCTATCCTAAACACAACCATTCAATGGTCCTAAGTCGGGTTTTTTCAACCCAACTAATTGCCACATAGGCTCCAAGCTTAGGAACCATCCCACCATGGAAACCATGGTTGGGAGAGTTCCCAAAGAAGTGTATTGAGGGGGTTTGAGTTTCCAATCTCATCCAACTAATCAATCAGAAATGGGATTGTTTTGCCTAAGTCATTGAGAGCTCTCTCACACAACAACTCTCTACACAACTTCTTCAAGTGCTTCCCATCAAAGGCTTCAACAAGACTCTCATCTCCAAGGCTATAAAGAGGGGTTAGCTAGAGCTACCATCTTGTACCGGGATTCTTATAAAAGCCTTGTAATCTCTACTATAATTGCCTCGGGTGTTACAGCTGATGGCGCATTGCTAGTGAGCTGCACGCTGGCGGCAGCTCCTGGTGTGCGTGCTAAATTGTTGCTGCGCGCGCTGGCACGCTATGACCTGGCGTGCACTGGCGGGCTGCCCGCTGGCGTGCGCACCGGTGACAATTGTTGGTGCACTGCGTTGCTGCTAGCGCGCTCGCCACGCACTGCTGGTGAAATGTGTGGTGGTTGGCCGCTAGCGCGCTCACCACGGGCCGTTGACGCGCGACAAGCGGTTTACGGGCAGAGCGCGACGGAAGGATAGACTGAGGCGAACGACAAGGAGGAACGAAGCAGAACAAAACGAAGGTCCCGAACAAAAGATGAGTGACGAGCACCCTTGGGACAATGAATGGTCCAAGGGGAGTATACAACAGGTTGGGATGGGCGTGATCGAGGAGAAGGAGCCGGAGACGAGTCTAGAGGAGGAGGCCTCGAACCGTAAGCAGGAGGAGACTGCTTGGAAGTGTGTAACGAGCAAGCGTGAATGCGTAAGTTGACGGTTAGCAAACCATAGGGGAGATTGTTGAAGTGGTTAGCAAATTACAGGGTCCTCGCTATCAGACATTTTTGTCTGTTTGTCTGAGATTTCAGACAGTTTTTCTTGGCTTCATCTGATCGTCCAGTCAGGATCATACAAAAACTTTTTTTTGCACGGGGGGCCCGTCTGATGCATCAGACATCCCTCAGACCCTAGGGAGAGCCCTGGCAAACCATGACCTGCCATGACCTAAAAAGAACCTATCTAGGGGAGTTTTGACCAAGGGAAAGCAAGGACCTCAGAGGAAATGAATCTACCTATGCTGGGACGGTGGAAAGGGAAACTCGATAAAGCTTGTTCTATAGTGGGATGGGAATCAAAGGAAAGTGGAGGAAGTGTGAAGAAATACAGAAGTACGTGGCAGAAATATGGAGATTTGGAATGTCAAGTGTGTGCTCAAACTCCTAGCACGTTCGGTGTGAATATGGCTGTAATTAGAAATTGAGATGCGTACAACTCTACTTGAAATTGTGTGCGACATGAGGGCAAAATCAGAATTTGAGTCGCCTATATATCGTCTTGCAATTTTCAGTTTTGTATCCCTTCAATGAAATCGCTTGGAAACTTCTCCTGACATTGCCCAGCATATTTCTTTTCAAAGTTGAGGTCAAGGCTTCCTTCCTAGGCTTACGTCAAATAGTCCGGAACTACGCACATACACGAGATGAGGATGGGGTGGAAGAAGGGGAAAGGGGAAAGAAAGATAGGTGGAACATGTTATTTGAAAACAAGAGAGCGATAGAGGTTGGAACATGCACGATAGAGGCTTGACAGCAGGGGTTGCAAATATGAGAATTTTGATATTAAGGATTTGAGGTGAAACATGCTTCTCAAGAACGTGCAAGATAATAACTCAACCATGACAAGGCAAACATGTATAACAACTTTCCACCCTCTAGGCGTAATGAGTGCAACTCACCAAAGCAAAATAGATTGCCTGGAGGCATCTACCGGTAGAAGCGACTTTTAGGCCCTGTTTGCTAGGGCCACCCTAATCAATGGCATTGGGGTGGACACGGAAAATCGAACCCAGCAACGAACCATCCGCACAAGTTGGGACGGGATCGTCCAGGTCGTAATTTCTTGCTAGCCACCTCTCCCTGGTCTAGGGAATTTTTTTGTACATTGCAAAAGATTGGGATACCACGGGCAATTAAATCGCAAAAAGGGTTAATTGGGCTTGTCGTGAGTACTAGTTGGATGGATTTTTTGGACGTGCAACTATTTTCCTGGACAGCTATACACGCCTTCAGGGTAAACGAACTAGCTAATGGTCCTTATGAGAAGCACAAGCAGATGACCCTCATCCGGAATCCCGCTGCCATCCCTTGGAAATTCCCTGTGAAGAATGACAACGGACATTCTTCTAGCGGGATTTTTTTTTTTGCCAGGAGGCTTCGTTTTTCCGTAATTTCCCCCAAAACATGCTCCAAAACGAGTGTGTTCGACATGCCCCAGACTCAGTTTGGTTCAGACGGAATCGTCAAGGCTTAGTAATTTTTTGGGGGGTTGACTGGCCTAGAACCCCTGCAAACGGAATCAGGAAGGTGATGCCCACAATCCTAATTCCACCAGAAATGTCGTACAGAACAGGGCCTTAGGGCACTTCAAGGGTCAACACCAGTGGGACTAAATTTTGAGTTACCTGAACAGTCTCATTGTTAAGATTACCGCAATAACTCACCACTGCAACGACCATCCTTGTAGCCGAATTCACAGATGCAACTTGGATCGCCATTCTTATTCGGCTTGCATATCGCGAAGATTTCGCACCTCACCGCAGCACAGGTGTCTGCATGCAATGGGACGCAGGCAAATGGAAACATAGCATCACATGCACACACTTTAGTAACTCGTGCAAAGAGAGTTGACGGGAGGCCAAGCTCTAAGGAAATGGTTTGAAACACAAACAAGTCATGCACATGGTGTTTGGTCTCCTCCAACTCACCAATGCAAGAGAGCCCGTCAGAAGACGGCTTGCCCCAGGAGCAACTGCAAGATGGCTTTCCGTTCACATCCTTCATGCACTCGCCATCAGAGCCACAGTTCACCTCGTTACACAAGTCTGTAAAAATAATGGAACCAAAAGAGTGGATGAATATCATCACATAAGAAGAATGGAATATTGGGATATTGACCATCAATGACCACAGAGTTGAATATGCACGCACTAAGTAACTTGTGCAAAGGGATTTGACGGGAGCCCAAGTTTTGAGAGTTCGGTTTGAAACGTAAGCAAGGCAGTGTGGCTCTACTCAGCTCACCAATGCAAGAGAGACCATCGGAGGATAGCTTAAAGCCCAATTTGCAACTACAGGATGGCTTTCCGCTCGCATCCTTCGTACAGTTGCCGCCAGGGCCACAATTCACCGAATCACACAAGTCTTCAAGGAAAAGGGAACCAAGAGAGTGGAAGGAATTTAACACGTCAGGAGATTCAAATATTGAGATATTGACAATCAAGGGTCACAGAGTTGGATATGCATGCACATCAATAGCTTGTACAAACAGGGTTGAAGGAAAGCCAAGGATTTGGTTTAGAACACAAGCAAGACATGCCTTCTCCATTGCCCTCCTTCAACTCACCAATGCAAGAGAGCCCGTCAGAAGACGGCTTAAAGCCCGAGTTGCAGCTACAGGATGGCTTTCCGTTCGCATCCCTCGTGCAGTTGCCGCCAGGGCCACAATTCACCGCATCACACAAATCTGCAAGGTAGAGGGAAGCAGGAGATTGGAAGGAAATCATCACGTCAAGAGATTCAAATATTATGATATTGACAGTTGAATATGCATGCACTTTAGTAGCATGTACAAAGAGGGTTTAAGGGAGGCCAAGTTTTAAGGATTCTGTTTGAACACAAGTTCGAAACACAAGCAAGGCATGCCACTCTGTTGCTCTCCTCCAACTCACCAATGCAAGAGAGCCCGTCAGAAGACGACTTAAAGCCCGAATTGCAACTACAGGATGGTTTTCCGTTTGCATCCTTCACACAGTTGCCGCCAGGGCCACATTTCACCGCGTCACACAAGTCTGCAAGGAGAAGGGAACCAGGAGAGTGGAATGAAGTTATCACAAGATTAGAGATTCGGGTTTGGACCTTAGCAATCAAGGGTCACTGGGTTGAGTATGCACGCAAGCAGTAACTCTTACAATGATGTTGAGGGTAGGCAAACTTTCAAGGACCCGGTTTGAAACAATAAAAACTGTGTTTGAAACACAACGCATGCGAACTGAGCTGCATTCCCCCAGCTCACCAATGCAAGAGAGCGCGTCAAAAGTTGGCTTAAAGCCCGTGTTGCAACTGCAGGATGGCATTCCGTTCGCATCCCTCGTACAGTTGCCACCAAGGCCACACTTCACCGCATCACAGTTGTCTGCGGAAAACGGGACACAGGCGAGTGGAACGAAATCATCACACCAAGAGACTAGAATATTGGGATATTGAGAAACAAGTATCACCAAGTTGAATATGCATGCTATTCAGTAACTCTTGCAAAGGGAGTTGAGAGGAGGCCAAGTTTCAAGGGTTGGGATTGAAACGGCAGGCGCGATCTTTGTGTTGCACTTTCTCTACTCACCAATGCAAGAGAGTGCGTCAGAAGACGGCTTAAAGCCCGTGTTGCAACTGCAAGATGGCTTTCCGTTCGCATCCCTCGTGCAGTTGCCACCAGGCCCACAATTCACTGCAGCACAGTTGTCTGCAGAAAACAAGACCCAGACAGGTGGAAAGAAATTATTACTTCATAAACTAGAATATGAGGCATTGACAAATCAAGGGTCACAAAATTGAAGATGCCCACAATTCAGTAACTCTTGCAAAGAGAGTCGAGTGGAGGTGAAGTTTCAAGGGCTGGGATCGAAACGACAAGTGAGTCGAGTGGAGGTGAAGTCTCTGGGTTGCACTTCTTCAACTCACCAATGCAAGAGAGCGCATCAGAAGATGGCTCAAAGCCCGTGTTGCAGCTACAGAATGGCTTTCCGTTCGCATCCTTCGTGCAACTGCCGCCCGGCCCACATCTCACTGCATCACACAAATCTGCCAGAAAAAAAAAAAAAGAGTTGAGTAGAGGCCAGGCTTCAAGGACTAGATTGAAACGCATCCTTCGTGCAGTTTCTGCCATGCGTGACCACCGCATCACACGACTCGGCATAGAAAAGGATATGGAAAAAGGGATACGGCGATGAGCTTTGACAACCATGGGGTGTACCACAAATGGATAAGGTAGTGATGCAACTTTAGTGCCAAATCATGGGTCGGGTTGGATCGGATGACAGAGAATAAGTGCAATCGGCAGTGCAACTCTCACTCTCCTGTAACAACCCTGTAATAATTGCTATCAGGATTCTTTCCCACCAAAAACCAAATAGCCACAATGCCACAATGTAGCAGCACACCTAGGCAAGTGCTATTGGCGGTAGCTAAGCGTGGTTGCATGCGCAGGTGAGTGAAGAGAGCAGGAGAGACAAAACGGTATCGCTAGCAGCATACCTTGGCAAGTGCCATTAACGGCGGCAAAGCCCGGGTTGCATGCACAGGTGACGGCCTTGCTGTCAGTCGTTGGCATGCACGTGGAGTTGGCTGGACACGTGGCGTGCTGGCAGGTGATTTCTGCGATGAGAGGGGGTCCAGCATGGGAAAAGAGAGTCATGGGTAGCACAGAGACACGTGACGTGCTGGCAGGTGATTTCTGCGATGAGAGGGGAGCCAGCACGGGATAAGAGAGTCATTGGTAGCACAGAGACACGTGACGCCCTTGCTGTCAGTCGTTGGCATGCACGCGACGTGCTGGCAGGTGATTTCTGCGCATGGTGGTGCATCAGAGAGATGTGTGTAGCAGGGAGTGGCAGCATGGGGTGTGAGAGGCACGGAGTGGCAGCCTGAGGTCCGGTGTGGCTGGTGAAATGAAACCATCATGCAGAGACGCTCTCTCCCATGGAAGGGATGAGATGTGTGCGGCAGGGAGGCAATGAGGGAAGGAGGGAAGGAGTGGTAAGGAGCCAGGGCAGCAAGGAGTTAGGAGGGAAGGCGGTAAGGAGAGAAGGCGGCAAGGAGGGAAGGTGAGGAGGCGAGGAGGAAAGGAGGCAAGGAAGCAAGGAGGCGAGGAAGCAAGGAGGCGAGGAAGCAAGGAACCAAGGAGGCGAGGCACGCACCACACTTGCAGGAAACGGAAGTCCATCGGGCAACCTTCTTTGAGCTGCAAGCGAACAAGGATGGCAGGAACACATTCAGGTCAAAAATCGGGAACACATTTGGATGAGACGTTACTTACGTAGGCACAACCGAGGTTTAACAGTGGGTTACGACTGCGGGGGTTACGACAATGGGTTACAACAGTGGGTCATAGCTGTGGGTTACAAACAATGGGTTACAACAGTGGGGCACAGCTGTAGGTTACAACAGGGACTCACAACTGTGGCATTGGTAGAGGGCACTCACTCACCCGCCCCCATCACGCACCTGCCCTACACCCACCCATGAGCCACCTGGCCTGCACCCATCCCCCACCCACCTGGGAATGTGGAAGAATCTGCGCAGATTGGCGTATTGCGGCTGCAGCACCTCATCCAGCGCCTTGCCCTTGCAGGCCGGGTTGGCGAAAAACTTGAGTTGCTTGCATGCCGCACCCCCACCCTTGCCATACGAACCGCCGCCGCCCGTGCCACCACCGCTGCCGCCCCTGCCGCCGCCCGTGCTGCCGCCCGTGAGCCCGTGCCACCACACCTGCACGTCTCCAGCCGCCTTGCGCGCCGCCCGGGGAAGGCTGAAGCAGCGGAGGGCGTCGAAGCTGACGGGGACGCTCACGCCCGGCACCGCGATCACCGTTGCCACGTGGACCCGAGCCTCCACCGCCCCGCCTGTGCTGCTGCCATCCCCCACGCCCACGCCCACGCCCACGCCCACGCCCACGCCCACGCCCACGCCCACGCCCACGCCCACGCCCACGCCCGCCTGCATGCTCTGATTCCCGCTTCCTGCACTGGTCTCCCCTCGTGCCGCATGAGTGGTGGCGACCGCTGGAGAGAGGAGTTAGAGGGGTGAGAGGGAGCAGAGGGGTGAGAGGGAGCAGAGGGGTGAGAAGGAGGAGAGGGGTGAGAGGGAGCAGAGGGGTGAGAGGGAGCAGAGGGGTGAGAGGGAGCAGAGGGGTGAGAGGGAGCAGAGGGGTGAGAAGGAGGAGAGGGGTGAGAAGGAGGAGAGGGGTGAGAGGGAGCAGAGGGGTGAGAGGGAGCAGAGGGGTGAGAGGGAGCAGAGGGGTGAGAGGGAGCAGAGGGGTGAGAAGGAGGAGAGGGGTGAGAGGGAGCAGAGGGGTGAGAGGGAGCAGAGGGGTGAGAGGGAGCAGAGGGGTGAGAGGGAGCAGAGGGGTGAGAAGGAGGAGAGGGGTGAGAAGGAGGAGAGGGGTGAGAGGGAGCAGAGGGGTGAGAGGGAGCAGAGGGGTGAGAGGGAGCAGAGGGGTGAGAGGGAGCAGAGGGGTGAGAAGGAGGAGAGGGGTGAGAGGGAGCAGAGGGGTGAGAGGGAGCAGAGGGGTGAGAGGGAGCAGAGGGGTGAGAGGGAGCAGAGGGGTGAGAAGGAGGAGAGGGGTGAGAGGGAGCAGAGGGGTGAGAGGGAGCAGAGGGGTGAGAGGGAGCAGAGGGGTGAGAGGGAGCAGAGGGGTGAGAAGGAGGAGAGGGGTGAGAGGGAGCAGAGGGGTGAGAGGGAGCAGAGGGGTGAGAGGGAGCAGAGGGGTGAGAGGGAGCAGAGGGGTGAGAAGGAGGAGAGGGGTGAGAGGGAGCAGAGGGGTGAGAGGGAGCAGATGGGTGAGAGGGAGCAGAGGGGTGAGAACGAGGAGAGGGGTGAGAGGGAGCAGAGGGGTGAGAGGGAGCAGATGGGTGAGAGGGAGCAGATGGGTGAGAGGGAGGAGAGGGGTGAGAAGGAGGAGAGGGGTGAGAAGGAGGAGAGGGGTGAGAGGGAGCAGAGGGGTGAGAGGGAGCAGAGGGGTGAGAGGGAGCAGAGGGGTGAGAAGGAGGAGAGGGGTGAGAGGGAGCAGAGGGGTGAGAGGGAGCAGAGGGGTGAGAGGGAGCAGAGGGGTGAGAGGGAGCAGAGGGGTGAGAAGGAGGAGAGGGGTGAGAGGGAGCAGAGGGGTGAGAGGGAGCAGAGGGGTGAGAGGGAGCAGAGGGGTGAGAGGGAGCAGAGGGGTGAGAAGGAGGAGAGGGGTGAGAGGGAGCAGAGGGGTGAGAGGGAGCAGAGGGGTGAGAGGGAGCAGAGGGGTGAGAGGGAGCAGAGGGGTGAGAAGGAGGAGAGGGGTGAGAGGGAGCAGAGGGGTGAGAGGGAGCAGAGGGGTGAGAGGGAGCAGAGGGGTGAGAGGGAGCAGAGGGGTGAGAAGGAGGAGAGGGGTGAGAGGGAGCAGAGGGGTGAGAGGGAGCAGATGGGTGAGAGGGAGCAGAGGGGTGAGAACGAGGAGAGGGGTGAGAGGGAGCAGAGGGGTGAGAGGGAGCAGATGGGTGAGAGGGAGCAGATGGGTGAGAGGGAGGAGAGGGGTGAGAGGGAGCAGATTGGTGAGAGGGGTACCTAGCAGATGTAGTCACGCCTGTGGGTGCTTATGCAGAGGGTCAAAAGGCATCCGCTGCGCCTGTAATGAGCCCCCCTGTTTCGAACCAGTGGCCTGGAGGGGAGTTATACTCGAATGTGCGAAAAAAATAGTTAAGTCTCTCATTGTCGTTCCCAAGGGAACTTGCGAAAGAAAAGGTATCAAATGGAGACACTCTTGGGAACGGCACTGAGAGAAAACGACTCACCGCAGATGATGGCGAGGACGAGGCGCGGAAGCAGCGCGGCAGAAGAAGCGGCCATGGCGGTCAACCTCCCACGTCAGGTGAGGTCAAGCTGCCACGTCAGGTGGGGAGATTCTTGTGCAGCGCGCCGCTGCCTCCTGGAGTACAGCAGGAAAGATGGCTCTGAATTGAATTGGTCACACTGATGGTACAAGGCGTTGCAATGGTGCAGCTCAATGCTACTCGTACAGCTGATACATACGGGTACTATAGCTGGAGGTAGAGAATAATTGGAGGTATAGCTACTGGAGTTGCTAGAGATATCATACGGCGGAGGAGACGCTCCCATGGCTGCTCTGGCGGGTGGTTTATGGGATCGTCCAGGCTCTCGCCCGTCGCCCGAGGCTGAATGTACAGTTCGAGGCGCTGATAGGAACGCGATCTGGTAGCATCTAATTAGAGTTGCGTTTGGGAGTTATGCGAGTCGAAAAGCGAGTGGCACGCGCATGCCAGAAGCATGGCGACCAGCTCAGGCAGTCGCCTGGTAGTGTCGCTCGGGCTGGTGAACGACGCTGGGAGCTTGAGCGAAGCAACTGGATTGGAGCTCAGGTGCAAAAACGAATTATTGAAACATGATGCACAGTCTGCGATCTTGCCGCATGTTCAGGGGAGGGAAGGATGAAGTGAATTATTAGCAATCGCACGGCTCACGTTTGCTCAACTCGCAGAGGAGTGAATTATGCAATTGCAGCAGCGGGGGAGGGGAGGGGGGGGGGACGCGCAAACGTGGTGTGCGACGGACGAACTCTCGATTTTGAACACCCAAAAAAATCGTTAATAGAAGAATCAGTAAGACGCTAATAGCCCTATGGAGAAGTCTGGGTAAGTAGGGAATTGACAATCACAATATATTCTACAGGAACCAAGTTCTACAAAGATTTTAGTCTCAAAACCGGAAGTCAAGCTTCTTGTTAATACATTTAGCCCATGCTGTAATACCTGAAAATATAATTTATTGCCAGCTGTGTTTCAAGTTCCAGTCAAATCAATTGGTTGTACGGTCACTGAGGTGGCAGTCCTCCTGGAAGAATTCGGGAAACCAAGAAATATCAAGTTGTGTCTAGCTAGTTTTTCTGCTGCTTCCGCCTCCCAAATGTCAGCAGCCTACAAGTAAAAAGCAAGTTATGGAACTTTTCACTTCCATATTCGTTACACTCCTTGGTGAGTTACGCTTCGCTGAGAACGTACGCTTTACTGAAAGCTTGTTATCAATAGAAGTTTCATGTTTAACGTCTTGACCCATGCCCACGTTCGAAGGAGATTTTTTTGTTTGCGCGTGCCAGTTTTCTCAGTCTTCGATGGTACGGCAAGGGCCAGCGCGTTAGATACTGTGGCGTCACTGGCGCGTGAGAGAAAGTTGCCGAGGGCATTTCTTGCGTGTACAGATTTGTCTTACGTTGTGACGTGGCTCCCCTCTAAACTGGGGAATGAAGCACTCGTCCTAGTCAGGCTATTGGCAGAAGGCGTGGCATGATATCTTGGTTAGGCTCAGGCTCGGTATGAAAGGTGGCGTACGTTTGGGAAAACACTGGGAAGATTGCTCTCGGACCGTGCGTGAGACGAGGGAGGGAGAGAGTGAGGGGCACACCACGACGTCGCTCGTCATCATTGCATCCCAAGGTGCACTGCATGAGCTGGCCCCCGAACCAGGAGATGTTTTCTTGATATGTTTTTTTTCTTGGACCACGAGGCTCGTCAAACAAAAAGCAGCCAATGTGAGAGTGACGAGTAAGGCGCCCGCACATGCCGCCGAACTTGGAAAAGTTTCATGTCTGGCGGTCCTTTCTACTATTATCCGCGCTGGCACAAGGAATCCTCCTAGTGGCAGGCGCTCAGCGTGTGTATGCTGAAACACACTGTTCCTTGACGGGCAGCTCCTGATCGTCCAATGGCCGGAATCGCCCGAGATTTGTTATGAGCGGCCATTGGACTCCGCCCGTAGAGAGGCCTGGGCAGCTCTGAAAAAACTTGTGATGCCAATTACTTGTTCGTGCTGGCGCTGTTTGGGCAGTCCCTGATTCGAGGGCATCGAGACGGAATCAAGCCGAGCTCAGCAGCCCCTCGTTCTTGCTCGTTCTGTAGACAGCCAATGGAAGGCTCCACATTCAAATGCTCACAATCAGCCTTGGCAGATTGACACACGTACAATTGCTCGAGCACACTTCCTCGTTCCATTGATTTCCCATTTAGTAACTCTGTTCTTCTCCGAGTAATTCCAGGATTTAGTCAACGACAAGCTGGAAGAATCTTGTCTTGTCGCTAGAGCAGCTGAATTGGCTTCAGAGGTTTGGTACAATTCTTCGAGCTAATCTGCTTCGAGCGAAATTGCTTCGTAGTTCCAGCTTTGGAGCCATGGCTGCACGGAGAGCGCTGATTTTCTCCCAGGGTTCTGCTGTTGAGCGTCCTCAATGGCTTGATTGTCTATTGAAAGGAGATTTCTTCTCTTCTTGCACGCGACACGTGTCGCTGAAGAAGAACGAGATGAATTTGTTCTGCCTGGACTGCATGGAGGAGCTTTGCCAACATTGCATGCCAAGCCACCAATCTCATAAAATGCTCCAGGTACGTCTATTCGACAATTGTTTTCGCATTTTGAACAGCTGCATTGCAGTTTCACGGGGAATTTCGGAGAAGGCGAGGGTCGAAAAGACTACATTTGAGAGTCCAATTGACCTTATCACAAGCAAAACAGACTAAAAAAAATTCTCCGTTTCCTTGTTCAGATTCGGAGATACGTGTATCACGACGTTGTTCGGCTTCAAGACATCACGAAGCTCGTCGACTGTAGTGGAGTTCAGGTGCGTGATTCTCTTTCTGACTTCCCGATTAATAGTTTGTGTTAATGTAATACCTGCCATATTAACCAGGATTCTTTCCTTTCTGCCTTACAGGCCTACATTGTCAATGGCTCAAGGGTGGTGTTCTTGAACCAGAGGCCTCAGCCCCGACCGACCAAGACGACCAATTCATGCCTGACATGCGCTCGAATGCTTCAAGACGAATTCAGCTACTGCTGTTTGGGTTGCAAGGTACGTCTTTGACTCAAAGAACTCGCCGTTCAGAACGGCGTCGCAATTGTCAATTTCAGTCATGCGGTCAAAGTCAAATCTTGATTTTGGTCCAGTTCTCATCAATTGTGCCTATACGTTGCAGGTAGAGGCTCTTGAACGCCTGAACGCGCCTTCGTCAGAACCGATAAAGAGGAAGGCTCAATTAATGACCAGCTTAACCACCTCAGATAGCGGGTCGTATTGTTCTCAGGATGAGCTGTCGCCTATGAAGCACGACGACTCGCGAAATTTCGCCTACTCTGATAGTGGTTCGTCCTTCGAGGAAAAGGAGACGACGTCCCATGATTACGACTACTCCTCCGTACCTAAACGTTCGCGAAACTCGCGATCGTCGTGGAGCTCCTCGCCACGGTCTGTCCTTCCTAGCTCGAACAGGAGAAAAAGTACACCACAAAGATCTCCAGCCTATTGACAGACATCGCCAGCTCATTGACGGACACCGTCCCTAATCTGACGGATAACGCCCATGATTGACGGAAGTCTGCGTCAGCAGATCGACGCTGTCACCCTCTCTAAACAGATACTAGTATTTATCAAGCCTCGCATGCAACCGAGGAGATCCGTGGCTATCACCCCCACTTACTGCCAACCAACTTCAACCATGCTGGTATTTATTCACATCTGCTCTATCCAACTGCATCATTCAGCTACACCATCCAGCTGCACAATCCAGCTGCACCATCCGTCCCTTCTCCATCCTGTACATCCGCCAGCCTACTCATAATGGTTCGGGGTATCACGTCCGTCTCGTGGTGTCTTCAACGCAAATTGAAGACTTCCTGGCGTACTGCTGTTGCTCAGCGGTTAGCCAGGATATTACTTTGCTGTCCGTGGGGGGATTCTGGGTTAAAAGTATCCTCTTTGTTGTATTCTTCAACTGGGAAATAAATCTATTCTCAAGGTTTGTGCTGTTGATCAGCGTTTGATCGGGATACCGGTACTTCTGCAATTCATCCCGGAAGTGTGGCGGCTCAGTTCTCTCTGCTCTGTTGTACACTCGTTGTAGTCAACTCTCGTTTGCTAACATTTGGGATGGATACGCTGAGTTAAGTACTCCATTTCTGTTGTACTACCAATGGGGGTTAGTTACCTGGAAAAAAAGGCATGACTGGTTAGAGCTTTCTGGACAATCTAGATGTAGGGGTGAAGCTGAAAGAAAACGGAGAACTTTGGTGGAAACCATGCTCAAATCCAGTGCCCTGGAATGCCCGACACAGCTGCGCACATGGGTGCTATATGAGGTGCACAATGCCGCTTGCAACCATGACTCGGTTATTGACCTCCATTTGCTGCATGGTGATACGACACAAGGAAAGGAAGATTAGCTTCAAAAGTTCCTCAACAAACATCAACTCACTTGTGCAGAAACAATTCATACGTCAACCCTCTTGTGAACTCACTTCACCCCAGAGTGACTGAACTCAGCATACAATATCATCATCACCTCACTCACCAGAGTCTGGACTCTGACCCAAATCTCTCCCCCCCCATCTCACCCCATCTCCCCACCACCTCACCTCCAGCATGTCATCGATTTCAGCCCGGGTGAAGCTCTTCCCCGGCCATCGCTTGATGACCACCTCTGCCAGTTCCTCCACGGCTATCGACTCGACCCACCAGTCAAACAGATCGCACAAACAAGCCACCAACTCACCCTCATCTCATCCCCATCTCAACCCCCCAATCCCCCCATCACCTCACCTCCAGCATGGCATCGATTTCAGCCCGGGTGAAGCTCTTCCCCGGCCATCGCTTGTTGACCACCTCTGCCAGTTCGTCCACTGCTATCGATTCGACCCGCGCTGCCACCGCGTGCTCACTGAACGCCAGCTGGAAGGCGTCGAATCTGGGGGTTGTTCAATGCATGGGGAGAGGAGAAGGAAAACTCGTTGATGTGACCATGACATTCCACCCAACTCCGTCACCCGTGCTGCCACCACATGCTCACTGAACGCCAGCTGGAAGGCATCAAATCTACAATTTGGATGCAGAAAAAAAAAAAAAGTGCAGAATGAACACAGTAAAAACGAGAAAGAGAGGAAACACACACACACACACACACACACACACACACACACACACCCAAATGTTTTTCAGGAGAGGACGTCTCGACAACGGCACGTCGAACCGAAACAACGAGAAAGGAGCAACTGCTTTTGCCGTGAATAAGAAAGACAGAGAAAAGACAGAGAAAGGGCAGAACGTTCCACTGAACGTTCAGCACTGAACAATTCATCTGCAGCAGAAGCTGGTGAAGGTTCACCTAGGGCGGTGATAGTGTGAGGGAGTGACGGAGAAAGGAACAGAAACCCCACCTTTCAGCAGTAAATGCCCCATCGGCAGCAGAAGCAGGTGCCGGATCACCCAGGCTGGTGGGGAGAGGGATATGGAAAGAAGTTCAGGGTTACGGATAGAAAGAAGGCGATTGGAAAACAAACCCGGCAAACCGATTGTTGAAAATCAAGAAATCAAAGGCTGTGTTTGTGCGGTTGGGTGGTTGGTGCATGGGGAGGAGAAAAATCACGTAGGTGAACAAGAAGAACGTTTGTGGTGGGGCAGGAGTGAGATGACGTAAGGCTTCTCAACACTGTTGGCATCCCCACCCGCTTCCCCCCCTTGATTCCCATCCCACCCACATAAACACCGACAGATAAGGAAGGAAGGGAAGACGGAACGTACTGTGGAACCCCAGCCGCAGGCGCTTCCTCCATCTCAATCTCCTCCACCTCCTCCTCATCCTCCTCCTCTTCCTCCTCCTCCACATATTCTTCCTCTTCCTCCTCGCTCCCTTCTGCCAGTGAATCCCTGCGTTGCCTCTTGCCACGGGACCTGCAGGAACGAGGGGGTCCATCCAAAAGGAAGGGGGGGAGGGGGACAGATTGCAAAAGCATGACGGCTTGCAGGCGCTGATACAGCCTGGTTCCTGTCCTTGGCTCAGAAGTCTCCTTGCCCCCTTTCTTTTGGGTCGACTCACAAGTCAACTCGAGGGCGCTGATACAGCCTGGTTCCTGTCCTTGGCTCAGAAGTCTCCTTGCCCCCTTTCTTTTGGGTCGACTCACAAGTCAACTCGAGGGCGCTGATACAGCCTGGTTCCTTTCCTTGACTCAGGAGGAGTCTCCTCGCCCCCCTTTCGCCTCTGAATCCAAGCCAAGGCACCTTTGAGATCGTTTTGAGCACTTTGTTGTACACAGAGCGGAAATCTACTGCTGTTTTTTCGTTTGCTTAAGCCTACTGCACGCACGCAACTCACTGAGCCATGTCCCGATCTCGACCCCTTTCGCCTCTGAATCCATGCCAAGGCACCTTTTCCTTTCCTCCCAGCCTTCGTTTGCATTTTTATTCAATAGTGGTTCAGAAATGATACACACTCCACGTCCCATTCACTTCACCCTTCCTGCCAGCCACACAAGAGCTACGCACCTTATCTTGTGCCCGCCTCGTCGCCTTGTCCGTCCCCCAGCTGATGCTGCTGCGGTTCCACCCACACTATCAGCAGCACCAGCACCATCAGCAGCCCCATCGGCAGCACCACCAGCAGAAGCAGTTGCAGCAGCAGCGGCGGCGGCGGCTGCGGCGGCAGCAGTTTCTTTCCGTTGCTGCTCCACGCGTTGCCTCTCCTCCTCCATCCGCTTGTCCGTCTCATCCAGCTCGCGATGGTACAGAGCAAAGTCCAGCAGACTCAACGCCGCTGCCACATCTGATTCCAACACCTGGAGGGGAGAAGTTGGGGAGGAATGGGGATCCGAACATCTGATTCCATTCGTTGCCTCTCCTCCTCCATCCGCTTGTCCGTCTCATCCAGCTCGGATGGTGCGATGGTACAGAGCAAAGTCAAGGAGACTCGGTGCTGCTGCCACGTCCGATTCCAACACCTGGAGGGGCGCGAGAGGAGGGGAGGGGAGGCGTGGGGAGCAAGGAGAACGAAGCACTCAGCTTTAACCCAGTCCTTTCAAACAACCCTCTCCTCCGCCATCCGCTTGTCCGTCTCATCCAGCTCGCGATGGTACGGAGCAAAGTCAAGGAGACTCAATGCTGCTGCCACGTCCGATTCCAACACCTGGAGGGGACAAGGGGACCCCACGCGATGAGTCAACGAGGCTCAGCGCTGCTGCCACGTCTAAGTCTGATTCAAACCCCTAGCGGGGCACATTGAGGGGGAAAGAAGAGGGGGGAGATAAAGGGAGGAAAGGGAAGGGGACGGGACGGGAGGGGAGAGGTGGGAAGGAAAGGGGACAAACCTACTGCCATCTCAGAACCCCCACTGCCATCTCAGAACCCCCACTGCCATCTCAGAACCCCCACTGCCATCTCAGAACCCCCACTGCCATCTCAGAACCCCCACTGCCATCTCAGAACCCCCACTGCCATCTCAGAACCCCCACTGCCATCTCAGAACCCCCACTGCCATCTCAGAACCCCCACTGCCATCTCAGAACCCCCACTGCCATCTCAGAACCCCCACTGCCATCTCAGAACCCCCACTGCCATCTCAGAACCCCCACTGCCATCTCAGAACCCCCACTGCCATCTCAGAACCCCCACTGCCATCTCAGAACCCCCACTGCCATCTCAGAACCCCCACTGCCATCTCAGAACCCCCACTGCCATCTCAGAACCCCCACTGCCATCTCAGAACCCCCACTGCCATCTCAGAACCCCCACTGCCATCTCAGAACCCCCACTGCCATCTCAGAACCCCCACTGCCATCTCAGAACCCCCACTGCCATCTCAGAACCCCCACTGCCATCTCAGAACCCCCACTGCCATCTCAGAACCCCCACTGCCATCTCAGAACCCCCACTGCCATCTCAGAACCCCCACTGCCATCTCAGAACCCCCACTGCCATCTCAGAACCCCCACTGCCATCTCAGAACCCCCACTGCCATCTCAGAACCCCCACTGCCATCTCAGAACCCCCACTGCCATCTCAGAACCCCCACTGCCATCTCAGAACCC